ATGCAGCCCCCTTGCCCTGCCAAGCCCCCAGCGAAAAGCTCTGTGCAGGGGCCGCTCCGGGGGCAGGGCCTCTTGGCAGCAGTTCCCAGGCACTGGGACAACCCCAGCGGAGGCCTAGGGCTTCATGGACACCCCCAATCGATGGTGTTGTGGACCGCCATCAGAAGCGGCCCCTCCTTCACACCCTGCGATGCGCCAAAGAGAGGGGTTGCAGGGCTGGCGACTACCGGAGTTGGCAGTGGCCAGCTCAGCCCCACGGCACGTCCCAAGTGAGAGGCGAGGACAGGGATGGGGGTGCATCCACTGGGGAGAGTGGCCATGGTTCCTTGCTTAAAACACCTCCTCCAGATCCCCAGCTTGTTCCTGCTCTCTGATAGCCAGAGCTCTGCATGGAGTCAGCGCATGGCAGCTCGTAGGGTTGGGAGGTGACCTCTCCCATCTCGCTCTCGCCAGGTCCCACCAACGTTTTTTTCTGTCGCTTTGGCTCTTTGGCGCCTTCCTGGCCTCCCCCAGGTTGCCTCTGGAGCTCAGGCACTGCAAGCTTCTCTGGGAAGTCTCATCTGCCTCCCGCAGCTTGAAGCCCTGGTAAACTCGTTGTGGAGTGGCTCTCAGTGGTAGAGAGAGGAGAGTTCCTGCATTTTATTTATTTTTTCCCCCCATAATTTGCAGCTGGTGGCGGGGAGCCAATTCCCATGCGTTCCTCGATGCAATGGGGATGTGCTCCTGGTGCTCGGCTTTGCTGGCAGCGTGCAACTGCTGAGGCTCAATCCTGCATCCCAGAGTGCCACCCGCATGTCCTGTGGGGACAATATCCATATCTCCTGCGGGCAGGAAGACAGCAGGCCAGGAGAAGAGAGTTGCAGGATTTTGCTTGCTGCCCCAGGCTTCCTGTTCCCCACCATGCAGTGGCCTCACTGAGACTCAGGACCTTGCCTCCTGATGCTGCCTGTTGCTGCCTGTCCCCTTGTCCCTGCCTCCCGCTACCTGTCCCTGCCTGCCCCATACCACTGCCTGCTGCTACATGCCCTGTGTCCTTTCATGCTGCTACCTGCCGTTGCCTGCCCCGGCCTGTCCTGCATCCTACCTGCTGCTGCCTGCCCGGTGTCTCTGCCTGCCCCTGCCTGTCCTGAGGCCCTGCATGCGCACACACGCACCGCAGGGTTGCACATATGCATCCATACTGCCCAGGCAGGCAGGGCAGGACGGCAGCATCCGATGGGGCAAGTCATCCCAGTGTGCCAGTGGGGCAGGCAGGCACTGGGGCCAGTGCCATATGGGGCTGGCCCTAGTTTGCAGCCATGTGAAAAGGCAGCCATGGGGCCAGTCCCTGTGCCACATGGGGCAGGCAAGGGGCCAGTCCCAGCACCCTGTGGGTGGTAGGAGAGCCATGGCTGGCGGTGGGGAGCATCTGGAGCCCAGATGGGAGATGAGCGAGGAGGAGTGAGCTGGGGCGGGCGCAGGGACACGTGGTGGCCCTGCACCCCCAGGCTTTACCACCCGCCTGCCCCACAGGTCAGGGCATCTGTGCCCCACATCTCCCCAGCCATGTGCTGTCAAGGTGCAGGGTGGGCTGGGTTCTCTCCTGGTCCCGCCCAGTCCCTTCCTGCTCATCCATCGGGTACGTCCGTACCCCCGTCCCCAGCAGACACACTCATGTGTGGTTTTATTAAAACCAGACGCCAGAGACCTAAGCAGCCGGAGCTGTCCGCACGCTGGCGCCACACACGCACGCCCTGCAGGCTGTGCTTTATTGGTCATGCTGGACAGCCTGTCCCACTGCCTGGAGGTTGGGACGAGGCGTTATTTTTTGCAAATTAGGGCCACATCCGCCCTTGAGAAAGCCCCGCTGGCTGTGGCCGTGCTGGCGGACCCTCAAGGTCAGTGTAGGGAGGAGGAGTGGAGAGATTGATGTCACATCCCATGACGCTGTTTCCCGGAGCGAAGTGTGCCCTGTGGGGGCCGCGGCTGAATCATGCCTTGGACGTGCTGGCTCTGGAGCCTGTGACCCACCAAGGAACGGCAGCTGCACTGGCTCCTTGTGCTGTGTTGGTTCCCGCATGGGCCAGCTGGGCACATGTGGGCAGCAGCCCTCATGCTGGGGAGCTTGGCACCACGTGCATGTCTCAGCTGCCAGGCTCAGCCCTTTCCCCAGGCCACTGCTCTCTCATCACCCCCCTGCCCCAGCTCTCAGCACAAGCTCCGCAGGGGTCCGTGGCTGGGCAGAAGGGTGCTTGCTAGGCCTCCTGGTGAGACCCCTTGCTGTGCAAATGACCCTTTTGTGTCCCTTGATGAGCTGCAAGGAAGCAACTCGTCAGGGCTCTGTGCCCAGGATGGTGAGGACACCCTGGTGGCACCTCTAAGGAGGTCCTCATGGGATTTGGAAGCACAAGATCAGAGAGATCTCAGGCTTTTGGCATCCCAGCAGGTAACAGCAGCTGGATGCTGGATTTGTGCCCAGCCATGCCTGGAAACCAACTTACTCCTTCTTGGTGGAGACCTCGTTTCACATGTCCCACAGGCATCCCAGGAGACCGTGCCCTACTCTTGCAGCCTAGAGATGGGGTCCATGGGAACTGCTTCCAGCCCCGATCCAGGAGAGCTGCCCACAGCATCCATCTTTGGGGAGGATGCAAAGAGCAGGCCCTTGCATGGAGAGGCAAACTCTCCCCAGACAAGGAGGGGTGGTGGAGTGGCATCTGCTGGAGGTGGCATCCAATCAGGGTGGCACCCATTTGAGGTGATGCCTCATGGTGGTGGCATCCAATTGAAGTGGCATCTTGCAGATGGCGTCAGGGTGCCCTTTTATTGGGGTGGCAGCCGGGAAGGATGGCACAACCTTGTTGTCATGCTGCTGCAGGCACTGGGGGGTGGCACTGGGCATGGATGGAAGGAGGCAGCGGTCACAAAGAGAGCAGCCTGGAGAGAAGATGGAAAGCACGTGGGCTCAGGGCAGAGATTAGCTCCTCTCCTCTCTCTTACTTGTGCCCTGGCCTCACCGCCTGGTCCCTGGCACTGGCCCACCTCATCTGCAGCACTTCTGCCTTCCATCTGGCTGCCTCATTGCACGTGTGAATATTCATGACCCTCATTATCCTCTTTCACTCATTTCTCCCACACTCAGGCTAAAAATAACTTCCCAAGGTGGGAGGATGGGGCATGTGGGGTTGGGGGCTAAGTTCTCTCTCCCTTCCTGGGAAGGGAGGTAATCTGGGTCTCAGCTCCCCTATGTGAGGGGCTGGTGACCAGGCTGGGGTACAGGAATACATAGAATCATAGAATTATAGAATGCTTAAGGTTGGAAGGGACCTCTAGGGATCATCTAGTCCAACCCACCTGCACACACAGGGTCACCTAGAGCACGTGGCACAGGATTGCATCCAAGTGGGTTTTGAAGATCTCCAGAGACGGAGACTCCACAACCTCTCTGGGCAGCCTGTTCCAGTGCTCTGTCACCCTCACTGTTAAGAAATTTTTCCTTAAGTTCCTGTGGAACTTTTGATGCTTCAGTTTCGGGCCGTTTCCTCTAGTTCTATCAGTAGCCACCACTGAAAACATTCAAGAGGACAGGGTCAGCAGGCCAGGGAGCCTGCAGGACTTTCAGGAGTCACCACCCACAACAGCAGGGCCACTCAGTGGGCCATGGTGCAGAGCAGGGCTCTGCTGACAGGGACATTGGGTATTGATGGGCGAGCCCAGGATCATTCTGCCTGTTTCCAAGCTACCCATGGCTGTCCCAGTTGGAAATGAACGTCTCCTGTGCTTATCCAGCATCCCATCCTGTGGCATGTGCCCCACTCCAGAGGTGGCTACATCATGGTAGGACCTTTCTCAGTGGATCCTAGAACTCCATGGGATCCCCTAGCTGGGAATGGACAGGGGTTGGTGCTGTGCAGGGCTGGAGATGGGTGCCCAAATGCTGAGGCAGATGTAGCCCAGGGGAAAGATGGTGGGCGCCGGGCGCTGGCACACTGATGTGGGCCCCTTTGCCCTGCAGAGCTGAAGGCCACGGGCACCGCGCACTTCTTCAACTTCCTGCTCAACTCCAGTGACTACCGCATCCTGCTCAAGGACGAGGACCACGATCGCATGTACGTGGGCAGCAAGGACTACGTCCTCTCTCTGGACCTGCACGACATCAACCGCGAGCCCCTCATCGTAAGCGCGTGCTGTCACTGACAGGAGCTGAGGGCTGGGCCTGGGGTGGCCGCTAGAAGAGCGGGTGACACGGGGCAGAACCAAGTGCCCCCGTCGCAGGGCTGTGGGTTGAAGGGATCAGGAGCCAGGCGGGTGTTTTAGAGGCTGTTTTTGCACAGAGGAGGGTCCGTCTCTGCCCTGTAATGGCAGAGGGATCAGGAAAGAGCTCCAGGTGGGGGCTGAGCCAGGCATGAGTTCAGCTCTCCTCTTTGCTTGTGTTCTTGCAGATCCATTGGCCTGCTTCCCAGCAGAGGATTGAGGAGTGCATCCTGTCGGGCAAGAACAGCAACGTGAGTGTGCTGGGCACTACTGGATGTGCCCATGCTGTATCTGCTCCCTAGAGTCCTGAGCCACAGCCCATGTGGTCAGGGGTTTTGATTGCCACCACTTTAGGGAACCTCAAGGAGTTTGTCACCCCCACAGGACTGCAATTCATGTCATCTCCTTGAAATCCCATCCCCAGCAGGCCACTGCAGATCAGCCTGTCCAGGCAACATCTGCAGCCATGCCAAGACAGGCTGGCACTCCAAGATGTCACACCGTATCCTGTCAGCTCCTCCTTGTGAAAGTGCTAGGAGGAAGCTGGAGGCCAAGGTTCTCCACACTGCTTCCTCCCACCTATCAGAACTACCCCCAGCCATGCCAGTCCTGTGCCAAGACCTGTGTCCCGTGCCAGTCCATGCCCTGTGCCAGCGCATGACCTGTGCCTATCCAAGACCCATGGAGCAGCCTCCCAGCTTCCCAGCTCTATGACATGTCTGCTCATGCTCTCTAGTTCTGCCTCCCGGGGCAGAGGTTTCCATGCCTAGGCAGCTGCACCCTGCGGTGCCTGCCCGGCACAGGGGAAGGCTCTGTGCTCCCCGCTGGGCATGTGAGCTGGGATGGGAGCTGGCCTCCTCCTGTGCCCATGCTGTGGTTGCCAATCTCTCCCTCTGCTTCCCAGGGAGAGTGCGGCAACTTCATCCGCCTGATCCAGCCCTGGAACCGGACTCACCTCTACGTGTGTGGCACTGGCGCCTACAATCCCATCTGTGCCTTTGTCAACCGTGGGCGCAAAGCGCAGGTGAGGGGGCTGAGCTGGTGCCTGGGCCTGGCTGTGCCTGCATTGCCATCTCAGGGCCACAGCTAGACATGGGTGGGCATTAGGCATGGCTAGGTCTGTGCTAGTTTGAGGAGGGTTTCAAGGGGGAAGGGGATGGGGGCAGGCAGAGACATGCCAGTCTCAGCTTGGGTGCACCAAGGACTCTGTGGCTAATGTTACCATGCCGTGGAGCATGGCTGAGCCGTCTCTGCAGAGCAAAGCCTGAGGATCACTCTTCACACCTGCTTTGGGCTGCCTCAGCCGGACTCCAGCACCAGCTTCAACCCTCTCAGCCCATGGGCACCTCTTGAAAAGCGCCTGCTGATACCTCTTGAATGGAGTCTGTGCCTGGCTTTCCACCAACTGGTGGATCGTGAACATCCTTGGAATGGAGCGGCCTCTCCCAGGGAATGGAAAGTGCCTGGCATTGCAACAGCACTGGCATTTCTCGGGGACAAACGGCATGGATAGGCCACAAGGATGCGGTGGGCATGCTGTGGTGTTGCGACTGGCTTCGGGAGGGGACAGCGCTGCCACAGGCGGTGCTGGCGCTTGAGCTTGCGAGATGTCTGTGTCCTGCCCCACCGTGTTCCCAGGTGCCAGGGAGAGGTGATGACACTGGCCAGATGCTCATACTGACAACCGTGACATAAGCTGAGAGAAGCTGTATGGCATCGGGTGGCCTCATGGTGCTAGGAGAGTCCCAGGAGGGAGCTGGTCTCTCCAAGTGCTGGCCCTGGGGCAAAGGGTGCGTTGAGTGACTGCTGTAGCGTGTGGTAAGGATGGTGGGGACTCCCACTTGATGAACTCATGGTCCGCGGTGTCCATCTTATCAGCACCAGTGTGGTGGATCCTGAGTTATGCCTTAGAGGGACATCACCTGCTAGTGAGCTGTGCTCTGAGCTGTGTGCCATACATGCTTGCAAGCGCAGGCACAGCTACACAGGGAGATTGGTACAAGTCAGTGCCACTACTAGACTGGGCTTTTGGGCAGCACATCATGGACCCTGCAGCATTTGAGGAGGATCGGTGGGGTTCTGTGCACCCTCATTGCATTGAGTAGCAGTGTGCTTTCACAGAAAAACAAAACTGTTGTCTCTCCCCTCTGACTGCATGCAGGGTGAGTCCCAGATCTTGGTCCCAGAGAGCATGATGAGTGGGGAGAGAGGATCCTAAGCCTTGGGGTCCCAGAGTGCCGGTAGCCTTCCCCATCTCGCTGCATCACCCCTGTAGCTCTGATAGCATTCCTCATCTTGACGTCTCTCCCAAGTATGGAGTCAGGACCTCACTCTTCCATGATGGAGCGTTTCCAATTGAGCCGCTGGTCCCACCACCGTGTCCTGGGGCATAAGCCCTCCCTGGTCAGCTGGATGGGCAAGGGCAGAGCCAGCTTCACCAGTCTCTCTTGCTGCACGATGTGCTGGCCTCCACACCCAGTCCTGTCCCTGCTCTGAGGTGTGGACATGTGTCCCCTTGACCAACACTGCCCAGAGGGGAGCTTTCTGGGAGGGATCTGAATGGGGAAATGGCTCTCTATAGCTCCGCATGTGCCCTTGGCCCCTGGTCTCGGTGCCTTCCCCCCCCCCGCCACGCTGGGGTGGCCCTGTCCCCCACCTGCAGCGCTAACTCTCTGCCCTGCTCCTTCTCCCCAGGGATTTCCGCTGAGCCAGCCCGTCCAGCCGGGAGGCCGGGAAAGCAGAGCAGCTGACGGCCCCCTCAGCCCGAGACCAGCGGAAAGCAAGGTGGGAACTGGTCCTGGAGCCCGCCAGAGCCATGCCCACCTCTCCGGGGGGCACACCTGAGCTTAGGGTTCCTTCTCCCTCTCACCGGCATGTTCCTGGCCCTCCAGCACCCCCAGGGTCAGGGGTGCCCAGCAAAGTCTTCTTTCCCCTCTCTACAAAGCTCTCTACAGCAGCAGGCCTGGCTTCTCCTCTCTTCTCTCACTAACTCCTTCCTTCTCCCAGGCCTGGAAGGGATCCCCATGGGGGACACTGTCAGGGACAGCAGTCCATCCCCAGGCTGCTTTTATTGTGTCCAGACCCTATGCATTCCTTCAAAGCAGGGCTAATCATCATCAGAGCCATGGAGGACAGCACTGCTCATGGGGGCAAACACAAAACCCCTGTACAGGTGGCATTTTGATAAGGCCTTGCTGATGCCCAGGGGGCATGAAGCTACCTGCTTCACCTTGCCCAAGCAAAAGTGATTTCATTAGAGCAAGCAAGAGGGATCCAGGGAAGCAATGGTCTCACCAGCTTCTCATGGGCAGTTCCCAGCATTCAGCCTGTCCTGACAGTGTCTCCCCCTTGAATCTCTCTTCTCTGGACTAATGCGGATCAGTGCATGGGCATGGGGTCCATGCTGCCCCATATATTGCCTGCCAAGCCTGTATGTCCCCCGGACCTCCTTGCAACCTTGAACACACACGTCCCGTTCTGCTTTGGAGGGAAGTTGGTGGATGGGGAGAGTTTGATGCTGTCAGCCTTGAGCATCTCAGTGGCTGGGGTCTCTCTTGGCCCCTGCTGCTTCTAGGGGCTGGCCATGCTGCCCTGAGACCATTGCTCTCCTGTGGCCAGCTGAGGAAATCCGTTTGCCAACGGCCATCCCCCAGGAGCTCCAAAAGGCCTCCCTGTTCCTCTCCTCGATGGCCTTGTCTCAGGAACAGGGCTGCAGTGCCCCTCAGCCAAGGGCAACGTGCAGGAGGGTTTGCCCTTCAGGTGGCCCCTATTTATGGCCTGTCCTGGAGCTGGGCAGAGAACTGGGCTAGGACCTCCGTCACTCGTCTTACTGGTGTTTGGTTTCCTTTTGCCCTCTATTCCATGATGACAGGGCCTCACCTTGGCCTGGCTCTGCTCGCAACTGGAGTCGCTGCCACCCTCTCTCCTGTGCACCTCTAGCCTCTGGGAGGTGAATGAGAGGACTTCCAGCCTCTCGTTTAGGGAAATCTGGTGCTCACTAAGGCCTGGGCTTTGGTTTGATTTCCTTCAGCTACTACCTGGCACCCACTGCCTTTCCTCCTTACATAACCCCCTGCTTCTGCACAAACACAGCTCATTGGGCCCAGGTAAGCTTGACAGGGGTCGTCAGCAGCTGCTTTCCAGCAAGATCAATGTATTCTGAGCATCGAGAGCCAAGAGGCTGTCCCAGTGTCCGCCAAGTCTTTCCATCTGCCAGGCAGCTCTGGCGCTGGGATGGGCTTGCAGGTTGTCTTTCATCTAGTTGGTCCAGCCTGGCGGGACAGGTCAAGGGTTGCTACTGGAGCCAGGGGTTCATTTGAGAACAAAGTTATCTCAGTAAAATGTGAGCTGGTGGGAGACCGCTGCACCCCCCCAGCAGAGGAGTTTGTGGAGATGGGGGTGGCTATGCCAAGGGGCCAGCCCCACGGGGCACCAAGCCTGTGCCCAGTGCAGGTTAATCCTTGTGCTCTGGCTCATGCGACCTGGCTGCTCCCATGGACTCGGGCCACAAAGCCAGGAACAGCTTTCCTGAGCAAATCCTCTGAAGGAAGACACATGGAGGGATGAAGAGTGCTCCTCACTTCCATCAGCTCTCCGGCCAGTCCTGTCTTCCTGGACCCTGTGTATCCTGCAAAGACTCTGTTCATCCTTTGGATCCGTCTTGGGGGAGCAGTTGTCTCAATGTCTTTGGCTTCTGTTTCAAATCCAGGATGTGGGGTGAGTGGACAGCTCTGCTGGCCTAGCTTGTGTTGGCCGTGGTGAGGGCCCATGAATCCCGAGGGCTGGTGTGTGGCCTGGGCTGCCACGTGGGATGCCAGCAAGTGCTGTGTGTGGACAGGCTGTCTCGGGGCTGCTTCCTGGGGGTTCTGCACACCTGGGAGCCCCATGTGCCCCAAACCATTGTGCTGGCTGATTCTGTGTGTCTCCAGGAGGCAGAGCTGCCATGAGGGTGTGCAGTGGTGCTGGGTTTTCCACATGTCACTTTGCCCAGAGCAGGCAGAGACAACATCCAGGAGAGCGTCTCCTATCAGAGCAGGGCTCCAAATCCCACCAGGACCGGGCTCAGTAACTTGTGGCAATTGGTGGACCACTCATTGGTGACAAACTGCTCCTTGCTGGGACGTGTTGGGTCTGGCAGCAAAGACTGCCTGTGGCTGAATATTGTCTGTCAAAGCAGCTGCTGTGAGGGGCTCCTGCAACATACAGCACAGCCAGGCCCGTCTGCCCTCAAACCAAGCAGACTGGAGAGGATCAGTGCTGGATGGTGACTCTGTTTGCCAAGAAGAACATGCTGCATTTTCAGCCCAGTGGCAGGTCTCAAAGCAGCCGTGGATCAGTGCTGTGCAGGTGATGGACCCAGCACCTGGCAGCATCAGAGAAGCAGCTCACTGAGGCCTCAGCCCTCCTGAGATCCGTACAGACCTGTGAGGTGGTCTGTCCACATCCGTGCTGAGCACTGCATGTTCTCAGGCCTTGTGGCAGCAGACAGTGTTTTATAGCTGCTGTGCTCCACCTCCAGAAGAAGCTGCATTTCCAGCAGGCCTCTGCATTGGAAGATGCCCTGGGGATGGAGGGGAAAGATGTGATACACTCTCTCTTGCTTTCTTCTTCAGGATTACATCTTCTACCTGGAGCCAGACAAGCTGGAGTCAGGCAAGGGGAAATGCTCCTATGACCCCAAAGTAGACACCGTCTCTGCATTAATAAGTGAGTCCGGGATCCTTGCAAGGCCACTGCTGCCCGGGGGGCCGGCAGGGAGGACACAGAGGTGAGACAGGAGAGCTGCTCCAGTTGTTCTGATGTGTGGTGCCAAAATATCCACAAGAAGTTGGACTCCTGTCACTTCGCCCCTGCCTGCTCCAGTTGCAGCTGGGCAAGATGTCCCTGGGCATCTGGCAAAACCTGATCCTGCCGACAGGGGCTATCCTTTCACGCAGGTAACAGCATCCCACGCTTTTCAGCGTGGCCGTGTGCCGGGTCTCTTGGGCAATAGGGTGCCTAGGGGCTAACAGGCAGGACCAGGAGCCTGGAGCCAGAGGGAGGAGGACCACTGAGAAAGGAGATAGGGTGCCTAGGCAGGATGGGTTGGGGGCCTGTGGGGCGAGCTGATCTCTGTTCTCCTATCTGCAGATGAAGAGCTCTATGCCGGTGTCTACATCGACTTTATGGGCACTGATGCAGCCATCTTCCGTACCATGGGAAAGCAGACGGCCATGAGGACAGACCAGTACAATTCACGCTGGCTCAATGGTAAGTTGGGAATGTCCTTGGTTCAGCTTACCATTTTCCAGTGGTCCCACCATGTTGCATCTGTCTTATAGGCTAGAGGGACAGTAGACAGCACAGGCAAGTGAGGGATGATGTGGGATGGAACGACAGATGGATAAATGGATGGATGGATGGATGGATGGATGGATGGATGGATGGACGGATAATGGATTGATGGAGGAATCTATATTGGAAGAGGGACCTAAAGAGGTCTCTGAGGATGGATGGGTGGACGGATGGATGGATGGATGGACGGACGGACGGGCGGACAGATGGATAGTGGGAATCTCCTAGGACAGACAGATGGAGGGATGGCTGTGTGGAGTGCAGTGACAGACGGCTGACAGTGCTGCTGCTAGACAGTGGAAATAGCCAGCTGCTGGGCAATAGTGCTGGCTTTGTCAGGGCTTGTGCCTGGATTTATGCTGTGGTGAGATGTCAACCATGTCGCCTGCAATCAGTGACCCTGAGCACTCATCCTGCCCCCCCTTATAGCTCCTCCAGCCACAAGGAGGCCAAGGCAGCTGAGTAAACAGAGCAGAGCAGATCGGATGATCCTGCTGGGCCTGGGAGCTGTCGGGGCAGTAACCTGAACAGGGGGAGCTGTCAACATGGGCTGGGGACGAGCTGATGGATGGCACGGAAATGCTTCCTGTTGAGCTGTGTGGATCCCCCCTGAGGGGGGAGACTGGTTCCCGTAGCCCTGCTTTTGGAGCTGCTGGAGCCCTGAACACTTGCAGACTCCAGGGCTAAGGATGCTCTGGTCCTCTACAAATGGAGCATAGATGACCATGGAGAGACTCATCTCAGGGGCAGTCCTGGAGCCTCTGCTTCCTCAGACGTGGCTGAGTTGCCTACCCCTGTGACAGCCTCAGGGGGCTGGGTTCTTGCTGAGGGCTCAGTAACCTGCTATGGTGGGCTCGTGGGGTGCTGGCATCACCTGCTGTGGTGCAGGTGCTGCTGGGCTGACTACGCTGTGCCATTCCAGACCCAGCATTTGTCCATGCCCAGCTCATCCCTGACAGCAGTGAGAGGAATGACGACAAACTCTACTTCTTCTTCCGGGAAAAATCTGCTGATGCCCCCCAGAGCCCAGGTGTCTACTCCCGCATCGGGCGCATCTGCCTAGTAAGTCCACGGCCAGCCTGTGGCCATGCAAGGGGTTGTGTGGGCAGGGGTATGGGATTGTGACATTCCTGGGATTCATCTTGGCGGTCCATCTGCCACAGAATGATGATGGGGGCCACTGCTGCCTGGTGAACAAGTGGAGCACATTCCTGAAGGCCCGGCTTGTCTGCTCTGTGCCGGGACCCGATGGGATAGAAACGCACTTCGACGAGCTCCGTGAGTGTGGGCAGGGTTCTGTGGGGATGGAGAGGGATCAAGACTGCTTTGATGGCTCCACATGCTAGTATCTTTCTGCACCTACTCCCCCCTCCACTCACCACCTCCCTGGCACCCTGTGTCCTGGAGAAGGCCAGGAGTCTATGGCTGCCCAAAACTCTTACCAACCATTCCCTCTCATCAAGAGAGGCCAAGGAGCCAGGAGCTACTTTTACCCCAGTAGCCCCTCTTGCTACCCTGGTGTCCATGGCCAGGTGGTCCCTGCCCATCTTCCTGCTGGTGACATGCTCTTCCTTCTGTCCCAAGAGGATGTCTTCATCCAGCAGACACAGGACACCAAGAATCCTGTCATCTATGCTGTGTTCTCCGCCTCAGGGTGAGTGCTGTTGCTCCTTTGGCAGCCATACTGTTTGGACACATGGGGTCCCAAGGCCAGCATGTGAGTTCTGTGCATGGATGCCCAGTGAGGCCAGAGCTGCCCACACCATGAAGCAGTCTGGAGGGCTGGCCAAGGTCAGTACCCTCCAGCTACATGCAGTGCCCCGCTGGGGGCTTGGAAATGCTGGAGCAGCACAGCATGAGCAGGGTGGGTTGCTCTGCCAGGAAACTGGGCAGTGCCATCCTGAGAGCAATACAAATCTCTAAGACTGTGCTGACTGCCCTCCTTCCAGATCTGTGTTCAAAGGCTCTGCTGTGTGCGTCTATTCCATGGCTGACATCCGCATGGTGTTCAACGGGCCCTTTGCGCACAAGGAGGGCCCCAACTACCAGTGGATGCCCTACACGGGCAAAATGCCGTATCCCCGGCCAGGCACCGTAAGTACCCTTCAGGCATGGGGGTCTCCAGCTAGCACAACAGTGGATGACGGGGGGGAAGAAAACCTGTGTGTGCCCAGCAATACCAGGGAGCCAGTGCTCTCCTGCTGCTCGGAGCAGCTCAGAACCTGGCTGTGACAGGACACTGGATATGGCTTATGGTGCAGCTCCAGCAAGGAGAGACCGGGCAAATCTGTTGGCAGGGCCAGAGTGAGCCCCTAGCCTGGGGTGCCTGAGTGTGGACAATGTTTCACCCACCTGCCCTGTGTTGCAGTGCCCTGGGGGGACGTTCACACCATCCATGAAGTCAACCAAGGATTACCCTGATGAGGTGATCAACTTCATGCGTACACACCCGCTGATGTACCACGCCATATACCCAACCCACCGCCAGCCCTTGGTGGTGCGCAGCAACGTCAACTACCGCTTCACCACCATCGCGGTCGACCAGGTGGATGCAGCAGATGGACGCTATGAGGTGCTTTTCCTGGGCACAGGTACCCACGCCGCACATCGCAGAGAACGCAGCATGCACCAGAGCCGCCCGGGAGGGCAGGGGCACCGCCAGGGCTGGCGAGATCATGGTGCCCTCCATTCCTGCCAGATGCCGCGTTGGAGAAGGGCAAGGGGCTGAGACCCCTGTGCCACGGTCCTACAATACAGCCTGGTCCTCCCCCTACCCCACTGCACATCCCAGGGCTCCATGATCCAGCCTAGTCCTTTCCCTGCCCCAATGCTCATCCGAGGGCTCTGTGCCCACCGCAGGGCTCTGCCCACCCCGGTTCTTCCCACTGCCCCAGTTCCATCCCAGGGCCCCATGATCCAACCTGGCTTTTAGCCCTGTTTCCCATGGGGACAGAGGCTGTTCTGCATCTTGCCGCAAATCTCAGCCTGGAGGCTCTTCCCCAGTGAGTTCCTGTTGCAAACTCAGTGGGTCTCCTTGCTTCTGAGCAGACAGCAGAGGCTGATGCCCTGGCTGCTGCATCTCCCCTGTCCTGGGCAACAGCAATCCCTAGTGAGGGGCAATTTTTTGAGGGGCATCCCAGACAGAGCTGCCTACTGCAGCACTACAGGGATGGGGATGGAGTTGGGAACCCTTCTGTCCTTCAGAGCAGCAGGAAGCTCCTTCCCAGGAGGATGGGGGATGCAGGTGCCCAGCCTGTGTCTCTCAACGACTGTGCACTGTGGTGTCATGCAGATCGAGGCACTGTGCAGAAAGTTATAGTGCTGCCCCGGGATGACATGGAGACTGAGGAGCTGATGCTGGAGGAGATTGAAGTGTTCAAGGTAAGGACCAATCTCTCCTGCACCTTCCTCAGAGCTCTGAATGCCCATGGCCGGGCCTTGTCCCACCGTTACAGCCTAGCCTGTGGTGCCCAGTGCTGGCCTGTGAGCCCCTTAGCCCACCAGCTCCTCCATATCCTTCACCTGTGCTCTCCTCTAGGTGCCAGTGCCCATCAAGACAATGACCATCTCTTCTAAGAGGGTGAGTCACAGAATGTGCCCAAGTGGCAGGGAGAAGTGCATGGCCCCTGAGGAAAAGGTGCCTGGCTGCGGTACTGCCCAGGCACCAGCTCGGTGCAAGGGGAGTGAGCCATGAATGGGGGACGCTAGTGGGAAGTTCTGGGGTGAGATGCTTTTGGTGGCCCCAGGTGAATCCTGGGGTTATGCTGCCTCAGGTCACTGGGTATCCCCAGGATAAGATGGCTCTGGTGGCCCCAGGAGCGAGGAGGCCACAGCTCATTCATGTGGTCCTTACAGGGCTGGGACAAGGCTATGTGCCTGAGTAGTGTCTCACACTTACCTCTCTGTCCTCCAACAGCAACAGCTTTACGTGTCCTCAGCTGTAGGGGTGACCCACTTGGCCCTGCACCGATGTGATGTTTATGGGGAAGCCTGTGCCGACTGCTGCCTGGCCCGGGACCCCTACTGCGCCTGGGACGGCAAGGCTTGCAGCCGCTACTCAGCATCCTCCAAGAGGTACAGGAGGCCAGAGGCAGGGGGCAGGGAGGGACCCCTGAGCTATGGGAAACCCCAGAGAGGTTCCCCAGGTCATCTGCTGCCTCCCCACAGGCGGAGCAGGCGGCAGGACATCCGGCATGGCAATCCCATCCGCCAGTGCCGAGGCTACAACTCCAATGGTGAGTGGGCACCATGGGGCTGTGGTGAGGGAAGAGGGAGCATCTGAGAAAGCTAGTGAGGGGGCAGGCCATGGGGGTCCAGGGAAGGGGCATAGTGTGGTTATACTGAGGGCAGGAGACAGGAGAACGTGAATGACAGCCTGATGGGGTAAGGGATGGCTGGATATACTTGGTGGATGTATGTAGAGGCACTGGAGGAGGCTGAGAACATTTTGATGGATACATTGGAGGATGGTTAGCATGGATGGATGGACGAGTGGTTCCACTGGGGAGAGGCTGAACACAGTTGAATGGATGGTTGGATATGTGAAGAAGCAAAGTGAGCAAAGTGGGATGGATGCACTCGGTAGATGGAGGGATGCAGACAGATGGTGCATAGATCAAAGCAGGGTGAATATGAATGGGTGAGTGGATTGATGGAAGGATGGATACATTAGGGAGGAGTCTGAGCACATTTGGAAGGATGGATAGATGCATCAGAGAAGGATGAACATACATGGATGGATGGGTGGATGGATGGATAGATACACTTGAAGAGGATGAGCACAGTGGGATGGCCTGCTGGTTATATGCACTTACTGGAAGGACAGATAAACTGCAGGAGGAAGAACAGTTTCTGCGTGGATCGAGAGCCAGTGTATCCATGGCTGGGTTTGTGTAGGGTAGCTGGGATGAGGTTCGGGGGTTCGGAAGCGTGCCACTTTTTCCCTCAGCGAGACTGGCTGGGGGCATGGACGCACATGCACTGACCTGGCCACCTGCACCTGTCCCTACAGCCAACAAGAATGCGGTGGAGGCTGTGCAGTATGGAGTTGAGGGCAGCACGGCCTTCCTGGAGTGCCAGCCTCGCTCGCCCCAGGCCAGCATCAAGTGGCTGCTGCAGAAGGACAACAGTGACCGTCGGAAAGAGGTAAGAAGGGGTGCTGGGCAGCGCCCTGCCCTGGGTTCTGGAGCTGAGGGCCCTGCTGCAGCCAGATGAGCCTCCACTCGCTCTCCTCACAGCTCCGTGTCGAGGGCCGGGTGCTGCGGACGGAGCAGGGCTTGCTGCTGCGCTCCCTGCAGCTCTCCGACAGCGGCCTCTACTCCTGCACCGCCACGGAGAACAACTTTAAGCACACGGTGACCAAAGTGCAGCTCCGTGTCCTCAGCAGCCGCACCGTCCACGCCGTGCTCTTCCAGGCAGAGGTATCCCCGGGCCTCCCGCCCGCTGCTGGGGGTGCCGGGGCCACCGGGCTCCCCGGCGCTGCCATTCCCCACCAGCAGGACCTGCTGCAGCTCCTCACCCAGCCCGAAATGGGACTCCTTGACCAGTACTGCCAGGGTTACTGGCGCCACGTAGCCACCAGCTCCCAGGAACCGCTGGCTGGCCTCAAAGCCAAGGAGCAGCAGGACCAGAAGAAGCCTCGAAACCGCCGGAATCACCAGCCAGAGACCTACAGGCATACATGAAACCATTGGCAGGGACTTTGATAGCACAGTGGTCTATTTTTCCCCCTTTTAATATTAAAAATATCTATAAATATATATATATATATATATATATACACACACACACACACACATGAGT